TTTATTTTTTAAAACGTGGTTAGAGTTTTTTAATATTTTCAATACCTTTTTGACAATTCTGAAAAAATTGGTTAAAACTAGTTTCAGCTACAAATGGCAGTCTTCTTTTTACATTTATAACAACAAAGTTAATATAGAATAACATTAGAAACTATTACTTTAGTTAATATAGAATAACAAAAGAAGTTTTGCTGTTAAATGGAATCCATAAATGTTTTTTTTTATTAAACTGGTAAAAGTCCATTTGTAACAATGACTCAATTCATCTAGCATTTTCTACGAAGTAAATTGAATGAAATATGAGTAAAAGTTATTAATATTATATATCATTATGATTGTATTTTCATTTCCTCAAATTGTTCCTTTATTAAACTAAGTAACAACATTTCTTTTAAAATAACATGTCATTTAAATAATAACATATCTTATTGTTTTTATTATAATTATTATTTATATTTTAGAATTACATTTCCGAAATGTCTACTTCAAGTAAACTACAAATTTCAATTTGGTATTGGATACATTTTTCATAACATATTATTTTCGAAAATGGCATAAATCCATTTTGCAGGTAATAAAAATATTGTTTTACTGAGCAAATATTTATAAAAATGTCTAAATAACAAAATTAAAAATGTCGAACGTTAAAAGAATAAAACAAGCTTATTAGCATTATACAATATTTTTAAATAAGGTAAAATGCAATATATTAAACGTCTTGAGATAAAGAAAAGTAGACTTATAGCATTTAAAAAAAAAATAGTTCATATATTACAATTAAAATTATAACAAACACTGCATATTAAATATAAATACATTTAATCAATTCTAGTTATTTAAAAGAATGTATGTAATTGTCCTTTAAACGAAGAAAGTTAAATAGAGAAAAAGGTTTAGTGAACGAGAAAATCTGTTAAACCAAATTGACATAAACTTGATTTGTATAATCAGATACAGAAAGTAAAGGATTATAATAATTACTTTATGCCTAATGATTTTTATTTCAGTAGTATAAATTATTGAAAAACCTGAAGCGATCAATTTTTCACCAAGCAACCGAAGGAACCAACGGAAATAGCCACTCTTAAGGATTCAATTATCAGAAGCTACAAGATCTCGTTAGGAGCGTAATAAACGCTGAGATTCACTTTGGCTTAATGCAGATTATTTCCTTTTATCTGATTGGATCAACTGGGACAAACAGCACCGATATACCAACTTCGTCGAGAAGAAGGACTCTCTTAAATAATTAAATTTTCATCGAATTTTCAAAACTATTTATAAATAGCTTAAAGACACAGTTTCACTGGAATATTTTGTATATTAATTTTATTCCATTTTCTCTGTCTTTTTATGTATCGCTGAGGCATATAGGGACAGACTGTTTCGTAAATAAAGCGTCTGGATGGATTTAAACGGCCTCGAAACTTTCGGATTGATTTCCATTCGAATTGTTCTGGAACAACCGGAACGTTCGGCGATCTGATGAATACCGAGGAGTGACATTAAACACATCTCTCAACGAAAAGTCCAATAACTTCTGTCTGGTATAATCGAGGCCACGTACGACCTCGTCTTGTCACGACAGAAAATAATAGTCTTTTCTGCTTAAGATAAAAGACCCTATTACTAATATTTTAAGAAAGGACAATGACATTATTGCATCATTTTTCTATTAACTGACTAAAAACATACGTTTCTATTTGTATTTATTATTATTTAATAAGTTTAATTGAAGGAAAAATTTGTTGTAACTTTCTGAACCTCTACTTTTGTTTATAAATTCATTCGTTTCAAAAATACATCTCGAAAGCTATTACTGTCACTCGTAAAACGTGTTCGATTGAATTACTGACATCCCAATTACTACTAACCTAACCAAATACTGTCACCTTACATACCTAAATACTAGAGATGCCCTGCAAAATCGCTAACGGTGATTTATCACAGTGATCGCCGAATCACGATCACGGTCGTGATTTAACTTCATTCATGATAATTTGCTCACTGCGACCGTAAGTTCTTGATCTTTGAACGGAAAACCGTATTCAATATGATTTTACGATGAATTACATTACTATTTGTGTTTCTAAAAATCAGTAGAAAAAAACAAGAAATTCTAAAAGAATAATTTGCTAGGTAACATGTAGATTATAATTTATAATCATTAATTTATTCATTATTCTTCATTGTTTCTAATTATTCCTTCACTTTATACGATATAGCTCGAATTTTTGTTTCGATGTCTTTAATGTAAAATATACAGGTTATGTGTCGCGTGTAAAGATCTGTTATGTTTCTCCACCAATCAGAAACGATCACGAAAAATCACGAATTACTGTGAAAAATCACCGTCATTGGGAACGAACGTGATCGAATCACTCGTGATTCACAAGTAGCAGTTCACGCCATCTCTACTAAATACTGTCACTTTTTTAGGTTAGGTTGCTCGTGCCTACAGACCGTATTGGTGACATTAATAGTGTAAGGCTTTGTTTTTGTAAACAATTACTGACGTGACAATATTTACAAAATTATTGAAACGTTTGTACCAATCACTGTTACCCAAATATTAAACTAAAAAACTTAACGAATCGTTGAATTATGATCGACATTAATAATTAATAGGCTCCAGAAGGGTCACTTATTTTTCGTAGTATAATAATATAACAAATATACAGGGTGTTAATTTTAACTCGAGCACCTAAATTATTTCCGCTACTAGATAAAGTAAGAAAAAAGACTAAATAGTATGCACATGATTTTAAGGCGTGCATCTGATGGTAATAAAAAAATCCTTGAAGGTCATTCTAACGGGTTTTTCAAAGTCATCGTATTGTTTTTGCATATTAACATGTATTTTTTATAACGCAATGTGGTAGTTGGCATTAAGATGAGTTCAACGACCTACGCACCTTGACCTTGAAGTGACCTCGAAAGCGAAGAAATCAGTTTCAGTTTGAAAAATGCAGAAATAAATAAACGTAATAAGAAGTAAACAAAATTTCATCACCATCAAATGCACACCTTAAAACCATGTATATCCTATTCAGTCATTTTTTTTTTTTCTTACTTTCAATAGTAGCAGAAATAATGTAGGTGCTCAAGTTAAAATTAATACCTCGTATTCTAACTGGGAAATATAAATAGTCATGAAAAAACCTATCTTTCTTTTGATCGTTCATTGTTAGAGATGACGAAATTGTACCTAACTTTGGTCCTAGACTGCAATAAGGAGTAGACAGAGTCGACTTGTTAATCAGTGAAATAGATCACAAAAACGTATTAACGGCCCTATAAAATTTCACCAATCGAATTGCTGTTATTTTATATGTGAAAGGGAGACACCTGCTGCCACCAAGTTTCTGGTTTTTCTAAGGGAACAAATGGGACACTGTCAACGCTTGGACACTACCGATTTGTCAGGCTTTTAGGGTGACGGATTCGGACAAAACAGGGGATGGCGAGACTGAATTGTGAGGGAAAATTGAAATATTCCAGAAAGAGTCCTGTGTCTGACCACATGTGGGTTTGACATCAATTGTGTTGGTATCATAATATAGGGTGGGAAATGTAGGGCAATCCAAGTATGACTAATTTATTACGAAAATAAATCAAAGAATGGGAAGTAGAACTTTTCTATATGGAGTTTCATTTTTGACAAATTCGAGTAGGGAAGTTTGTTGAGTATTCATGTGATGGAATAGGACTTTACTAAGTATCAAAAAAATCCAAAATTATTAAGTGCTGGATATTTAGGTGAGAAGCATAGCCGAAAGTGTGTAATAGATAGAGTATTTTCTGGGAACATATTTGTTAGTATAATATCGATTACAACATTGTTTAAAGACTGGCGTTAAGTGGTGATACCTGAGAATTGTCTTCTAGATTATAAATACATAAATACTTCAGGACTGTAGAACTGTATTTAATGACCATCAATGTTCTACTGACTCTCCAAGAATTATTCAAATTTCATTCAAAGAAGGATAAAAATAGTATTCACATATTAAAAATAAATGGGTAATAATTTTTACAAAAGTTATCTAATTACTTAAATCAAATCAAATTTTCAGCCTTTGAAAGTATCATTCAAGTAGTAAATAGGAATAATAAAAAACATGAGTTATAAGTATACTTGTCACTAGGTATATGATAAGTCTCTCTTTTTTGTACTATTAATTGTTTTGTATACAGGATGTTGTACTTAACGTGAGCACCTTCAATACCTCACTTGTTTTTGAAGACGCTAAAAAATGTGAGGGGAAACAATTTAGTTACAAGGAGCAAATATTATGATAAGCAACAATTTTTCTCAAGGTCATATTTCTCGAAATTTCCAGGCCATCGATGTTTCTGTAAATGGGACTACATATTTTTATAATCCAATCAATCCAATCACCTATAATAGTGTGACCTTTATGTAACCTAGAGTACAAAAAATCCGCAAATATGTGAGAGTAGAGGGATTAGTGCAAAAATGTATCGAAGTTCATGGATATGATTTTGAGCACTTATTAAAATTAATTTTCTGAAAATTAAAAGGTGCTCACGTTAGGTGGGGCACCAAGTATGTTCTGAAAGTTTAGGTTAAATGTTTAAAAGTTGATTCAAATGGAGATTTTTTAGAGTGACTATTGATAACTGATAACTAGACTGCGGATTTTATGTATTTATAGCCAATAGGGCTTTGTGTAATGCAAAAAAGAAAAAACTTAAGAAAGATATTTCAGAGAAGAAATAAATTCCTATCTTTGCTGCTGTCGTCAAAAATTACTTTAGAAAATGTCATTTTGCATAAAAATCCGCAGTCTACTAATAAGTAATCGTAACTGGTAACTACTAGTAACCCTGGTAACTATTGGTAACCCTGGAGACTAATGCTAAGGGATCACATAGTATGAATTAGGGTGTACGAATGTTTATCCAACATAAAACACTACTTCACAGGCTAGAAAACAAAAAATGTCATAAAATATACCACCATAAACTGTACTTACTTTAAATCCTTTATACCATTCTTTTATAGTCGCTTCATCGTATCTCGTGTGCGACTTCAGGAAATCCATGTCCTCTTTGCTCAACTTGTCTTTGCTCCCAAAACAACCCATTTTGTAATCTGTAACAATAAATAATATGCGTTCCATTATTTGCAACGAAATGTTTCGTCAATTACTAATAACATATGTACATTTTATTTAGGGTTTAATATTTTTCAGTGAGATCAGAAGAGTTAGGACACTAATGAAAGCAGAAAGTGTATAGAAGAAAATCAATTTCTATTTATTCGATTTCACGAAAGTTTACTTATAGAGAATTCGCATTTATATAACCAACTAGTCTAGTTTATAAACTGTTATAAATAAAAGTTTAAGGATTATAGTAAAGCTAAAAGTTACAGGATTAAATGTTGCTAGAACATTCTGTATTGTACAAATAAAGGAGTGTGTTATGAAAATACTGACCAAGAATATTTTATTTAAAATCTTGTAACCAGCCTGTTAGAAAGTTTTAAAATTTCATGTTAGTATCTCTATTTGCATAACACTTTCTCTTGTTGGTAAACATAGTTTGTCCTAGCGACGTTTAATTTTTTAAAAACGTGGAAGCATCCGTGTTTTAGTGGCTGTTAGCAACAGGCGGATTAAAATGACTCGAGAACTGCCGAGTAAGGGTTAAAACGGGCACTAGAACTCTGGATGAGCATGCGGTTTTATAATCGGAGAAGTGGGCGACTTAGCTAAGGCCTAAATTATGCGAGGCATGAAAAAGCGTGCCACGTAAGTGCCTGCGGCGAACCAAGAGAGGAACAATGATACAAACGAAAGTACACTTCTCTTCTTTCAGCCTATTGTCTTCGTTAACTGAAACAAGAGATCTAGTTTCGGATCCAAAAGTACACTTCTCTGTATTTAAACATTCTGCCCGAAAGAAAACCTTAGTTAACTCATCTCATAAATGCTTTTCTTTAGCTGTCTTAATGAACATTATAATATAAATATAATACACTTTTTTTTTTAAATTTATTTTATGCTACTCACTGTTCCACGATTGCTTAATTTTGTAGCGTAACAGCAAAAATGCAGCGTTTAAATGTTTGTGATCTAACGTTTGGTTAGAGTTAGTTAGAGTTAGTCTGACAAGGAGTGTATTTTAGGTGTCCGCCCCCGATTGCTTTGGTTTTCGGATATGTTTTAGAGGACCGAAAAATAAGAGATACGTATTTTTTTTATAGCGGCCCGTTTTCATATTTAGGGGGTGAAACCACCCCTCAAAGTGTCGACCCGGAAGTACTATCTCGAAAACCAGAGGAGATACATGAAAACTTTCAATTGGTGGCTTTCATGGTTTTTTATGTACAATAAACTGGTGTTAACAAATTGTCAAAAATACAATTTGTTTATAACAAAAAAATTTGTTATAACTTTATTTTACAACTTATTGAAATTTGCGTAATGACATAAAATGACGAGCACTTAATTCCAAATCCATTGGTATATTTATTTTTGAAAGTCTGCGAAACATGTTTTTCAGAAAAATAACGTCGCCAGAGTTATTCTTGTGCCGCTGCATACGTTCGTTGAAAAACAACAAATATGAATGACACAAGACATCACGTTTGCAAATAAAAGTTGCTTTTGCAAACAAAAAGATTCATAAAAATTATATCAAATTTTTTGAGAAATCGAAATTGACTTTTATAAATTGACCATTATTTAATTTTTATTAATATATTCTCCGAAAACCGAGGCAATCGGAAGCTTAAAGAGCGGGCGTGCGCACAGGATATAAATAATAAAAAACTGCGAGACTAAGGAGGCAATTTCAAAAATAAATATACCAATGGATTTGGAATTAAGTGCTCGTCATTTTATGTCATTACGCAAATTTCAATAAGTTGTAAAATAAAGTTATAACAAATTTTTTTGTTATAAACAAATTGTATTTTTGACAATTTGTTAACACCAGTTTATTGTACATAAAAAACCATGAAAGCCACCAATTGAAAGTTTTCATGTATCTCCTCTGGTTTTCGAGATAGTACTTCCGGGTCGAAACTTTACACTAATACCTAAAATAAACCTAAATATTAAAACGGGCCGCTATAAAAAAATACGTATCTCTTATTTTTCGGTCCTCTAAAACATATCCGAAAACGAAAGCAATCGGGGGCGGACACATAAAATACACATGGGGTTAATCTGGATTAGTCTGGATTAGTTTGGGATAGTCTGGGATAGTTTGGGTTAATCGGAGTTAGCCCCAGTTATTCTGAGTTAATAGTTTGGATTAGTCTGGGATAGTCTGGATTAGTCTGGTTTAGTTCGAACAAAATTTCGGGTGCCTTTTTCTAATTTCCGTTTTATTTATGTACATGCGTTTAAACGAATCACAGCTACTTAAAAAAAAGGTCACTGAGTCGGTGCAAAAATTTAGTTAGAGTTAGTTTGAAATTGTTTCAGTAAGTGTTAGTTAGTTTGGATTAGGTTGAGTTATTAGTTCAAGTCAAATTTCAGTTGCCTTTTTCAAACTTTTGTTCTATTTATAGATATGTATAAAGGAATCTCAGCTACTTAAAAAACGTACGTCACTGAGACGGCGCAAGTGTTTGGTTACAGCTAGTTTGAGCCAGTTTGAGTTTATTTCAATAAGTTTAAGTTACTTTGAGTTTGTTTCAGTAAGTGTGAGTTAGTTTGGATTAATATGATTTAATTTGGATCAATTTGGATTAGTTTGAGTTGGTTGCGGTTAGTTTGGTTTAGTTTGGGTTAGGTTGGATTAGTTCAAACAAAATTTTAGTTGCCTATTTCTAAATGCTATTCTATTTATACATATGCATTTAAACGAATCACAGCTACTTAAAATAAAAAAAGTACGTTACGGAGACGGTGAAAACGTTTGGACAGAGTTGCTTGAAATTAGTTTCAGTTAGATCGGTAAGCAACTGTAAAAAAGTGTAATGTAGAGTCATGGTGGTCACGGGTGACCACCAGCAAGATAAACGTGCTATTGATAAGGATCTAGCCTAATTTAATCATACTACTCAATATTTTATCATTATCTGCTTAATAACAATAAAAATTCTATTGTGGCCCCCAGGGCGAAACACATAAAACTCGCGTGGCAGTCAACATACTAAACCTTTTAATATAATGAATTCAGGACAGTCGTGTATGCAACAAGTACATAAAATCGACAATCCAGTAATGACGGCATACAAATGCCAACCACGGAAATAACATTGAAGTTAAAAGCAAGTACACCAGGGAAATACAATTCGAAGTTAAAAGAACAAAGTCTTCTAATGGTTTTACTTCTACCCAGTGCATAACTTTGTACTTTTTTTTACAAATATTTACGTAAGTTTCAAGTTTCCCCGCACCACTAAATACCACGTCATCCATAGAATATGAACTCTTCGTCCTTCACCGGAAGTTCGAAAACCTTGCCCCACTGTACACCCCGCCTCTTTCAGGTAGTTTCGAACTCTTAATACTCCGCGCATTTCCTCGGTTCCAGCTCGAATCGAGTTTTAAACGCATCTTGTCAGTCAACCCCCGAAATCATTAAATAACCCCAACAAGCAAAATCAAAAATAGAACTTCTTCATTTCTTACTTTTCAAAAAAAAGTATTCCCAATTTCGTCACTCCTAGTTTTAATGCTTAAACAGCTGTCGGTGGGTAGAAATAAATTTTATACTTGACTTTTATATGTTTACAAAAAGTTTTAGTTATGAAAATATAAAACTAATGTCGTTATTGAGTAAAAATAAAACAAAAACTAAAGAATAAAATCGCAGGCAGCAATCGCACAAAAACTTCTTTGTTTGAGAAGCATTCTTTTCTCCATATACGTAACTCAAAATTTGCAGTTTTTCAGTTATTAGTATAAATAAAACACTTGTTTGTACATTTTATCAGTTGCAACCGGTGAGTAAGCTTCCAAACCTTACCACGCTAGAACAATCACTGCAATATGATGTTCGTATTAAATTCTAGGGATCAGAACATTCAAACTAGTTTTCCTTAAAATCGTGATTTTTTAGTTACGTCATTAGTGCAGCAAATCAACGACATGATTGAATGAATTAAACGTGATTTTCTGAATATTATTCACGTAGTAGGTGCAAAGAATGTTTTTACTGACTCTTATTCTACCTGTGGCAAACAGTGTTTGATCGAATGAATTAAACGTGATTTTCTGAATATTATTCACGTAGTAGGTGCAAAGAATGTTTTTACTGACAGCTTTCCAAGAACTGGAATGAAATTGTTGTCTTTGTGTAGGTGAAATATTAACACACTATCGACACGTCGTTTAAAATTAAGCGTGTCGGTCTCACAGTAGCGAACAAAAAAGTTACCATTTTTCTGATTCTTCATATTTCTACTATTTCATAACATCAATGGGTTTTATACAGTTTTTTAGTTAACGATCGAAATATATATTAATCACATACTAGAGTTTTAAGATGATGTTAAAAAATAATAAAAACTAAAATAGAAAAAATGGTCACTTTTTTGTCCGTTACTGTACCTACGTGTGTGTGAACCGAAATTAATTATGCACCAAATTTAGATCAACTATTTTAGTTCAAGCTTCGACCACCATAAAACGTACAGTAAAAACAGAGCCATAAACCACTCGATTCATCTGTGCACATCAATCTTTTCAGTCTAGTTTTCCATTTTCACCGTTCCATCTACCGCCTTTTCTCGCACGTTTCTTTACCCCTTTGAAAGATTTCCATACCACATATCTGAAAAGTAACTAAAAAAGGCCAATCACACAGGCGACACGCAATTTCTCTGCTCAAAGAAAATTACCATTTCACCATCAACCACATATTCCCACCCCAACACGACATTCAGACAGAAAAATTCAGATTTTCAGCGTTACTCCTGCGACATACGAGTTAACACTCACGGCGACTGAAGTCAAAATAAAAAAATATTTGAAACCAAAGTTTAATGGTACAGTAAGTCCTATAAACTTGCTTTAACCAAATTTGGAAAAAAATTTTTTTTATTTTTTTTTTTGGAAGCGAAAAACTTTGTTTTTAAATTTTGGTAACATTAATTTATAGCATTTATTGTACCATTGAATTACATAGCAT